GTCAACTGGCCACCTCCTGGGAGCCCTCGGGCCCAGGGAGAAGGCAGGGTGCTGGGCAGGTCAACTGGCCACCTCCTGGGAGCCTCAGGCTGGAGAGGAGTCTTACGCTGGAGTCCAGGGGCTTCTGCTCTGGGGGAGGGGTGTGCCCAGGTCACCGCTGGGCAGCTCGGTGCTGGGCAGGTAAGGTCTGCGCTGAGACCCAAGCAGTGTTTGAGACCCAGGAAGTCCAGCAGCCGCAGCCCAAGGAGACCCTCAGGCCACAGGCAGACGGGGGGACCTGTGCTGCAGCTGTGCGCTGTGTGTAGAGTGCTCGTGGCTCCCAGCGCCCTCTCAGAGTACACTGTGGGGAGGAGAAACCCCAGGTGCTGTGTCCCCTGAGCCCCCATCTTGTTCACCAGGGCACCCCTCTTCCCCACCTGCTGCCTTCCAGTGAGCACAGGGCCTGAGTGGTGGCTGCCAGATGCCCTGAGGACGAGGCTGGAGGTGGCTGCGGCACTGAGGTCTCCTGTGCCTCTGCACCAGGGGAGGGCACAGGGCAGTGGCTTGTCTAGGAGACAGTGGGGCAGCAGGAAAGAACTTGCTGCCTAAGGACCCACGGGCCTGACTCCAACCCATGGCGCCTGTGGTCCCCATGATGACACCCACCACAGGGGGATGCTGCTCCCCAAAGCCCTCCCAGTGAGCTCAGAGCACTCTCAAGGGGGCCTGGGCCCTGGGAAGCTGTACCCTCAGTGTCCCCAAAGCATTCTCATGGGAGCTATAGAGCCAGGACCGTTTTTGCCAGCTCCTAGACAAGAGAAGCGCTCTGGGACCCAGCTGCCCACTCCAGGAGCAGCAGCAATGGGCTCACCTCGTAGGACTCCTCGTCCCCAGCCACCATGCCCACTGTCTTGATGAAGGGGTGGCCGGGGTTGTCCACGCCGGTCTGGATGCACTGGTCCAGGGTGTAGCCATTGGGCGTCACCTTGTTTCGGAGCTTGGCGTAGATGGCTGGCGTAAGGCACTCAGCCATGCAGTTATTGTGCTTGCGGAGGTCAGGGTAGTCGGCGCTGGGGACAGACATCGGGGCCATGAGGCAGCCGGAGTAGGCTGGCCAGCCTGGTGTAGGCCCAACTGGCCAGAGCTGCTGGGGTTGTGTTGGGTGTGGGAGGCTCCAAACATAAGGGGTCCCAGTGACCTGGCACGGGAAAGGACGCCCTGACAGTAAGCACCCCGCGACTCTTGCGAGCATGAGCTTAGAGTCCCGCTCAGGTACACAGGAAAGGGCAGGTCCAAAACACAGTGAGCGTGTCCCCTTCAAACAAGGTAGCTCAGTAGGACATGAGTCCCCTTCATACCCTCCCCCACCGCCTGGCTTCACACCGATGCCCAGTTGTCGGTGACGCTTCCTGCAGCAGCTTGGGGGTCTTTGTGAGGTGTGACCAAAACTACAGGGAGTCCTCTGCCCAAGGGCAAGGCAGCTCGTAAGGACAGGACGCTGTGTCCTCGTCCACCTCGCGCAGCAGGTCTGGCACCAGGTGGTTTTATCCTGACATCAACGTGACCACTAAAGGAAGTGCTTGCATCAGTTGTACACCTCCAGGCAGCCAGGACAGCGCAGCTGAAGAGCCTCAGGACAGGGGCCTCCAGCGCTGCTGCAGGAAGGGCGAGGGCAGCGGGATGGGGTGCTCAGGAAGGGGTTCTGCCTTGTGTTCTTGAGTGGGGAGTACGTTGAGGGGCTCACGGCAATGTGCTTTCGATAATCTTTCACTTGAAGCAGGCACTGCACTTCTGTGTAACTGGTGTTTCTAGGGACACAGTGGTCCTTCCTGTGATAGATAACACCTCGGAGCTGGACTCACCTTGCAGGGAACAGCTTGTGCTGGCTCTGGGGCTCGGCGCGCACATGCTGCCGGTTCAGCAGGTAACCGGTGGTCAGGGCGCTGGTGCCCACAGTGGCAAGCAGCAGAGAGGCGTTGCGGCCAGTGAGTAGCTTGGAGAAGGTGCTGGCCATGCTTCTTCTCAGAAGGCTGCAAGGAAGGAGGAAGGGAGGGAGGGGAGGAAGGGAGAAGAAAGAAAGAGGGGGAGGGAGGAGGGAGGTGAGAGTGCAAGGGAGGCAGGGGAGAGAGAGGGAGGGGAGGGAGGA